GTTTGCAATGCCCTGCAGACTTAACTATCCAGTATGAATATTTTAAGGGTAGGAGCGTGCCCACCTTATCTCACCTGCTGGGACAGGTGGATGCATAAATAGTAAAGGTGGGTGGGACAATAATGACAGGTGTCCTTGTGGCTCAGTGGTTAGAATGCAGTATTACCAGCTGACTCTGCCCACAGCCTGGCGTTTGATCCTGGCAAGGCTCAAAGTTGATTCCATTTTCCATCCTTCTGAGATCAGTAAAATGAGGACCCAGATTGTTGGAGACAATATTCTGACATTAAACCAAGAGTGGTATAAAACACTGTGGGGTGGTATATAATTCTAAGTGCTATTGCAATAATAAAGACATAGTTTTAAAGGTGGTGACCAACATGTTGAATTGCACCTTAAAGAAATGAATCGCACCACAAAGATGTCACATGGACAACCTAGGGGTCCCTCCATTACTGTGTATGCTGCTGCGTTCTGGAGCATTTGAAGTTTATGGGAGGCCCAGAGTAGTAATCCAAACAGGAGGTGACCAAGGCATGAGTGACCCATGTGCAAGTCCTCTCCGTCCAGGAAAGGACACAATTGGTGCCATAGATAAATCTGTGCAAAGCCCCTCCCCTCGTCACAATCTCCTCAAGTAAGAGCCTTGAGTCCAGAAGGACTCCAAGATTATGCATCAGGTCAGTCACAAAAGGTGATCTAATGACTCCAGGACACTGCAACTGTCAAATATAAGTGAATTGCTGACCTTCTGAATTTAGATCACGCAACAATGGGGATGGTGCACTGGTTTTAAGTGTAAAAAAGTGCCTGCCAATCAGTGGTGGGATTTAAAAAAAATTACTACTGGTTGTGGACGTGGTTTGATGGGCATGGTTTTGTGGGTGTGGCAGGGGAAGGATACTGTAAAACGGGTCTCAAACTCATGGGCCAATTGCAGCCCGCAGGACGATATCCTGTGGCCCCCACTGTGATATGAAAGTACAATATTAGTGCGGCTCGCAGGGGGAATAGACCTCTGAAGGAAGTTCCACCCGCCGTTCCTTGTCGTGGCTTCTTCTCCACCCTGAACTTTAACAAGTCCAAGTACAGGTCCAGACTTACTGGTGATCATCTTCAAGCCATACTGAGGGTCTCAAGTGCCTCCTCTCTCAAGCCAAATGTGGCTCAGATATGTGAGAGGAAGTGTTGTCAAGACTCTGGCAGCAAGGAGTAAGCTGGAGAAGCCATGTTCTGAGGAACTGTTCATGATCTTCATTCAATGTTCCATTCATGTGTTCGGGACAGTTCATGTATTGGAGAAATCATTAACTGTTGATGACATTTGAGGATATTTTTTTAACAACGTTTTTCGTGGAATCCCTTATGCGGCCCAGCCTCACCCAGACTCTGTCTCCAGCGGCCCCCCAGGTAAATTGAGTTTGAGACCCCTGCTGTAAAATCTCCATTCCCTCCCCACTCTTGGGGGAAGGTTACTGCAAAATTCTATTCCCTCCGCACCCCACTAACCTGCTTTGCAGCCCCATTCTCCTGTGCAGGGCAACAAAAGAACAGCCAGCCGATCAGCTGGGACTTGGGAGGCAGAGAATAGATGGGGGCGGGGCCAGTCAGAGGTGGGATTTGCCGGTTCTCCGAACTACTCACAGTTTCCACTACCAGTTCCCCAGAACTGGTCAGAACCTGCTGAATGCCACCACTTCTCCCATTTCCAGTCCCCAAAATCGGTCCAGAAAGATATGTTCATTGTCATTGAAACCTGATGAGAAGTCTAGGAGGTACATAATATTTGTAATTCGTCTATCCCAGGCCCTCCAGAAGCCCATAGGAATTGCAACCAATGGCATTTTGGTGATAAACTCCAGACTGAACCAAGACAGAGAAGGGCCCAGATTTTTTTTCTCCTGCACAGCCTTTTCTGTGGGTGGCAAAGTCAGAGCTGGAAGCAGAAGGTGAGTTGAAGTCCCAGGCTGCCAACCTGTTAGCTGCTGCTCCATTCAAAATCCAAGAAAGAAATACTTAAGACTCTTTTAATTTTAATTGATTTACTGGAAATCGAGTGGTAGCAACAAAAGAATTCTGAATCTGAGAAAATGGATGCGTAAATCACATATGCAAAGTGATGGCAATGTTCCCACCGCCAATAGTTCAAATGGTTCTTCCAATTAAAAGTTGTGAATATCATCATGTGAACATCTCCAGGTGGTGATGAGGCTTCTGTCCATTGACCTTGGCATTGTTTGATAAAGGTTTGCAGCTGCACATAGCATAGAAGAGAAAGCTAAGCAAGGAATAGAAACCTAAGCAAGAATGTACTCCCCCCCCCCAGTTTATACAGTTCTAGTTTGTAACACCTCCAGCTCACTTCCCATAATTTCCCCCCTCCTCCACCCGTTACTTATGACAGCCGAAAGATGCAAAGCAAAGGGAGAAAATCTTGAAGGCTGACACAACCTTTCATGACCCTCTTCAGATGCACTTACAAAAGGTCTTAATCTGCAGCAATGCCTTGAGCTAGGAAAATCTCTCATCATTTTCTTACACATAGGAAACTGCTGTTGGACATATAAAGCCTGCCATGATGTCAACTGCCCAGAAGGTGGGGAATTACTCTTTCAGGCCTCTCCTGAGCTTGGAATAGAAACATGGGTGTTTCTCAGGTGGCGACAGCAATTGGTGCCAGAATTTGAGTTGCTAGGTAGGGATGTGGCCACAATAGGAAATACCGTGTTTCTTAGTTAAATGTGGAAGTAGAAGAAAATAAAATCCTAGAAGAGATAAAGGGCTGAGCTTTCCTTGGTTTAGTTTTTGCAAAAGAAGCTCCTGGCTCAGTTGCAGTGAGACGTCCATTTGGTTTCCTCCACTGAGTAGAAGCAGCAAAGAATCAAGGCTGAAACATGTCAGCTGCTGCTCCATATTCTTTCCCAAGTGTTACTACATTTATGTTGCATAATTTTAAACTTCTACTTGTAATTCTCTGCTGGAAGACTAAAATTTAAAGGTTAGGACACAAAAAGATTAAAGAAGGTTGCTGAATTTGGGTATGGCTACTCTAGGGAAAAGATGACTAGAGGAAATATTTGAAAGCAATATTTGAGGGGCTGCCATAAACAAGATTGGGTCAGTTTATCTTCCAAAGCACCAGAATGCGAGACAAGAAGCAATGGGTGGAAACTAATCAAGGAGAGAAGCAACTTGGAATGAATAGAATAGAATAGAATAGAATAGAATAGAATAGAATAGAATAGA